TGTTAAGGAGCAGGTGGTGCAGCCAGGATGAAAACCTGGGCAGATGCCAAGAAAGGCATTCTTAGCGACTCTTTGGGTCACTCAGTATGCAGCACTCTGAATGGATGCAGCAGGGGGGCTTCCTGACCTTCTTGGTGACCCCAGGCAAGCCATCCAACTTCCTTGAACCTCATGGGATTTACCTGATGGCAGCCTGGTGGAGAGGGGAGCCGATCCTAGCCAATTAGCTCCAGCACCCTTGGTCCGCAGCTTCTCTCCCCGGCCCAGTCCTGAGCTCTGAAACCTCTGCTTTGTGCACGTACCCCAAGCACCGGACAGTGCTGCTCACCTCAGCAGGGAGCGTAAAAAGAACCCTGTCCGGGTGTCAGGTCAAACGGGTTTTATCCCAGGTTCTGTCATTATCCAGTTTTGCTGCTCTGCACAGGTCACTAAAACTCTCTGGGTACCAGTTTCCTTATTTGCCGAATAGGAATGACGAATGTGAGATCATGAAAATAAAGTATGAAGTCAGCCTTGGTCGGTGTGGCTCAGTAAGTTGAGCGTCGTCCTGTGAACCTCAAGGTTACTGGTTCAATCCCCAGTCAGGGCACATATCTGGGCTGTGGCTCCAGTGGGGGACATGCAGGAAGCAGCCCATGGATGCTTTGCTCTTGCATCAATCTTTCTCTCTAAAAAATCAATAAAAATATTATAAAAAATCTAGCTGTTTTGTTGGGTTTCACTACTTTTCTGTGCACTCTCAATATTAATAAAAATAGTGCACCCTTTCTCCTGAAAAAATAAAATAAGTGCTGGGTAGGCATTATGTCCAAATGACTTGTTAGAGTGGGGTCTGTGGTAAAAGTTCATTACATTTTGGTTTTCTTCCCTGCTCGCTTATTTTGTACAATACCGTGCCCAGACCCCACAATCAAACAGCTTTCATTCATCCATCACCTACTTATGCTAAGCCCTCTATGTACATCCTCCCACTTAACTCTCAAAATAGCTCTATGATATAGGAACTGCCATGGTCACAGTATTAGGAAACTGAGGCACAGAAAGGGTGAGTATCTGGCCTGAAGTTGTACAGCTGATAGGAGGTGGAGCCAGGATTTGTACCCAGGGCTGTCTGATCTCACAGCCCCTGCATTTCACTCTTCTCTCTGCCTCCCCGTGAGACATAAAGAGCTTCCCCGGCAAAATTGATGACAGTGGGAGAAGGCAGTTGACCCAAGTGGCTGGACGGGGCCTTGTTGGAAGGTCAGGTCTGTCTATGAGCTGCTGGGGTCAACTCCAGCAGCTTTTGCACAGAGGGAGCACTCCCTCCCTCCTCCCCAGGCAGCCAGCCCCAGGGAAAGGCCCAGGATGGTGACAATTTCCCACCCTCAGCAAGGGGAACAGGCGCAGCTCAGGGTCCAGGTCTGCTCCTGTTCAGAGCTGAATAATCTGGAGCCTTTGAAGAAGGATTTCTGCACAGCCATCAGGAGTGAATCATTGACTTAGGGAGGCGATGAATCAACGGGGAGTTCATAAAACGGCAAATGAATCGGGTGTGAGAATGACGGAGCCACTGCTATTCCCCAGAACCCTCTGGGGACAGAGAGCCGAGAGAAAAGAAATAAAAATAACACGGGGCCCCACGCCTGCTACAAACCTGAGGCAGCCCCTCCTTGCATGTGGAAAGACAGAGGGACCGAGGGATGAGACCCACTGGTGGGTGAAGTGGGGTAGAGGAAGGCTCCCTGGGTCCAGGCTGCAGGTGCAATTAGCAAACGCCTGCCCCCTTCTTTTCAGAAGCCCTCACAAGAAAGAACACTGATTTTGACGAACACCCAAAATAATGTGAGATCAGGCACCATGCATTATGCATGAGGTCTGATTTAACATGAACATTATTTCTTGTGTATGAGACCATATGCCTCCGTGCTGTTTCTGCAGCCTAATAATACCAAGACCCACCCTGGCCAGGCTCAGCCAGAGACACGTCCACTGGGCGTATGTGCGTGGGGGTCCTTGAGGCACAGCCCTCCTGGTACTCGGCTCATGTGAGGGGAGCCCTGTCAGATGCCCTGGAGGTGGGTCGTGCCTCTGAAAAAACACCAGGGAGCTTGGGATGGGTGTCACCGTGTGAAAGTGCCAGTGTGTGTGTGTGTGTGTGTGTGTGTGTGTGTGATGTGTGTTATCAGGAGCCCGTGACTAGGTGATGCTGGGTTCATCGCGTGGTGATGTGGGGACATGTGAGTAGCTGAGGTTTTACTGCACAAGAGGAGTGATGGCAGGAACGGAGAGATCTAATTGCTGTGTGTGTTTGTATATATACACGCATATGTACGTGTGGGGGTGTGTGTTTAAAAAATAAGATCACATATACATACAAACACACAGCCTAACTTTAATTATCTGAAGGGAGCAGGAGAGAGCTAGGAGGAGCTGAGAACAATGATGGGCACGGATGTGTTTGGAAAGCAGTTTGTGGGGTAAGTGCGTGGATATCCTGAGAGTATGGGGACCTCGTCAAATGCTGCAAAGGATGACTGTGTGTGTTTAATGAAATGTTACAGGTGCCAGGCATCTGGCAACTCTGGAGAGCTATGCGCCAAAGACTACAGAACTGGTGCTGGACAGCCAAACAGTGGTATGGGTGTGACCATGAGTGTGTTAGTGTGCGAGTGAGTGAGTGACCGAGCTGGGAGCGTGTGCGTTGGGGTTTAAGCTGGCCGACAGAAGTGATGGGGATGGGTGTGAGGGGAGACAGACAGAGGAGGTAGCTGTGATGGCAAATTTCCGAGCATGGCCGTGGGATGGGGGAGGTGGTAGATGGAGAAGGAACGTCTCTGGCCAGCCTGTGTGTGTATGTGAAGCAGGGCTGCATCCTTGGAGGTGGTAGTTGCCTCTGCTCTATCTGGCACTCCCATAGAGGAGGCAACTTGAAGCTGACTTTTTGGGGGGACACTCAGCTGTGAGATGGCCCTGGTGACTGTTGCCATGTCCCAGTTCAGGGACCAATAGAGGGCAGTCCTCCCACACGGAGGCCTCCCAAGGCAGCAAGAAGAGCCCTAATCGGCTGGCCAAACACTAACTCCAGGGTTTTCAAATATGTCAGGCAGGGATAAGATTGACGGCCACTCTGGCTTCAGTCACTAAGCCGGAGGTCTGGGTGAATCCTCTTGTTAAGTTTAGGAGGAGCCATTGGGCCCAGATAACAAACGCCCTCTCTCTCCTTCCCCTGTTCAGGTGGGTCTCCTTTCTGGAGCTCAAGCCCTGCTGGGGAGAGCCAGGGCCTGGGTGCAGCACTGGGGGCTTGACACTCCCACATGCAGGCCCAGAGCCTCTCCAGAGGAGACTCGGTTCCAAACAGCTCTAAGTGCGTAGCTGTGGTCGGGGTCAGCTAGTCCAGTGGACATGCACTCGAGTCCTGGGGTCAAGGGATGATTGTACCAGACCTAAGCCAGGCAGCATATAAGCCAGTGCAAGTGAAAGTGCCAGTGTGTATGTGTGTGTGTGTGTGTGTGAGAGAGTGTGTGTGAGTGTGCACCTTTGTGGTGCAGGAGGTGGGTGTCCTTGAGGTACAGTGTAGGGCTCCTTCTGGGTTTGCCTGGATGACCACAGGTGACCACGACGGTCACCTTCCTTCTTCCTGTTGTTGACCAACCCCCACCCTGCAAATGTTCTTCCAGCTCCAAGCATTAGCAGTGTAGCATAGACTTTCTTTCCCCCCTCCTACCTCTGGGAGTGGCTATGGATTTGCAGGCACAGTGGCACACACACACAAATTCATACACCAGCACACAGAAGTTCACATGAGGAGAGTGAAACTCTAACAGAACATGTGGCCACATGATCATAGAACGTAATGTTGTTCACATGAGGAAGGAAGATGGGATCAGAAAATTCCGAATCAGCTCGGGAAAGCGTGGGCTTCCTCGAAGGTTGCTGCTAGGGACTTCTCCCCCTCTAGAACGAAAGGAAGGCTGAGGCTCTCAGGAATGAGCAGGTAGATCCACATCCGCATGGGATGGAGTAGCGGCTCGGTCAAGCTCCCAGGGGACTGTGTCTTTCCTAAACTCTATTCAGGGAGTAAGACTCCAGGGTAAAATATTTCTCTCCCTATGGCTTTTCCTTAATGGTCAAATGTGCTATGGTTCCTACCCTCATCCCAGGCCAGAGACGGGGAAGGAGCCAGGGGGCCTTCAGTGACCAGGGGTTGGTTCCTGGGTAGCTGCCCCAGGCTGGTGTCTCATTAAGCAAAAACCTCACAAAGTGGAAGATTTTCTTCCGTCCCCTTTTCTACTTTTTTTTCATCTTTTTGTTCTACTGGTCAGCTGCTGCTGGTTCTTGGGAGGCCGCATTGTTTTGCTGTTTTTGAGTTGACTTGCTTAAATAATAAATCCACCCTCTTGTACAGGATTAAGCAGATAATTGGGAAATCAATCAATCAATTGGTGTCAGCTGCAGGCAGAGGCCGGTGAAAGACCCCTGTCTTCCCAGTCACTCTTTCCAACCTCCAAACCTGCTGAGGCTCAGGGCGGCGTGCTGAGCGAGCTCCATGTGCTTCCATTTCAGGGCCCCGAGGGTGGGACAAATCGAGGAATGGAGATGTAAGGAGGGAGTGTGACTGCTTCGAAGTTCCGTACTTCGTGGAGCAGGAAACGAGAGGCCAAGCTAGGGTGGCCTGATGCTCTGGGCCATGCTGTCACCTCACTGGCCCAGAAATTCCTGGCTACCTCTTTAAGAAGCATGGGGAGGCTCACTGGCTTGCCAGTATGGGGACCGGCTGGGACACGGGTGCCAATTACAGGGCTAATTGCTCACTAGGCTGGAGTGAAAGTGGGAGAAAAAATAAGGAGCAGAGGGAGAGGTTTGGCATTTGAGAACTTTGTACTTGCGGAGACAATTCTCCTAAGATTGAGAGGCAGAGCCCAGAAAGTCACCAGAATTCTCCGTGTGGCACAATCACCCTGAGACCCCGGCTTGGCAGGGACCCCCAACTCTGGGGCCAGGGAGCACCTCTGGACACCCTAGATGCGGTCGGCTCTCACAGGCTTGGGAGTTGGCAGCTTGTCCCTGGTGGGAGAGGGGCCACACATACACCCTCACTGGGGACACAACTTTCTCCCCAGTCAAGCAATTGTGGCTTCAAGCTTTGTCCCCATGCAGAGTAAAAGAAACCTGGTATAGTTTCTCTTGAGAAGGGAAAAGAAAGAAGGGAGAAAACAGAGCTGTTTTATTCATATTTTTAAAAAGAGTTGTTTTAAAGGAAGGTCTTGGCTGGGACACAGGTAGTTTTGAGCTTCGGGCCTGGGACACTGATCTGCCTCCACCACCCTGACTCTGGGGAGGGGGCGTGTTGCTGCTGAAGGCTGGAGAAGGGGATGTTTGAGGATGTCTGTGCCCTCCACCCAGGTTCTGATTGCACACTGGAGTCCTCCCATGGGCATATGCGTCCCTGCCTGGATGGGGGTAGGGGGTGGGGAGCGGTCCTTGGGTGTCCGTCCCTAGAGAGGAGATGGCAGCGCTTTTGGTGGTAGTTGTTTACGCCCCCACTCTTCTGCAGGAAAAGTTGAGGCAGGTGGTTTGTTTGCTGAGAAGCCTTTGTCGAAGCAAACAGGTAGGGTTCCCTCCCTAGGCCCACTCAGCCCACCAAGGACCACCGCAGGAACCGCCAGTGAGTCCAAGTAGGTTTAGGTACCATTGTGCTTGCGGTTGGAGAGCCAGCTGGGATGGGCTGGTGGGACCTGAGCCAGCTTCCAGCTGCCCCAGGACCCGGAATGGTGACATTGGCCCAGGCCCCACACTTGGGAGTGCAAAATGAAACCAAAATCAGGGTTGGGGTGGGGGATACAAAGACGCCAGGCTAAGGGTCCAGGTCCAGGTGGGTTTCTTCCTTGGGTAAGAAGAGCAGTGGAGTTGTGCCCGAGGAACGCTGACCCCAATTCAGCGTGGTGCCTGCGGTTCACTGTCCTGGCTCAGGTCTGGTCTCAGGATAGTCTGTTTATGGGAGGGGACTCGAGGCAGCTTCATCTTCCTAAACTCACTCACCTGAGGCAGGGGCCCAACTGTGGCCCAGGTAACAGGGGGTCCTGATACTGGCCTGGAAGAAGGGTTGTTGTGGTTACCTTTCTCTACAATAGCAAGGCCAAGACTTTAGGGGAGGTGAGCCAGGGGAGCCCCACACTTTACCCACAAACCCACCCAGCCCTGGTAGTAAAGAGGACAGGACACAGCCCTGGGGTACATGTTTATGTGAGTAATAAAATATTTACTATAACATAAATATAAAGGGAACTTCCCAGTCTACTTATTATTATTTTTTTTGCAATAAAGATACAAAGAGAATGCACCGAAACATTGTTCCAAAAAATAAAAAAAATAAAATTTAAATTCAAACTGTAACAAACGAAACAAGAAATGGAGGAGGGGGAAGCTCCAGACACATCCAGAAAATAAATAGAGACGGGTCAGAAATCTGGAAATCATATTAAAATATCTTTTTCGGATTAGTCGGTGTACAAAATCCTGTAGGATGGGGACGGAGGGCAACCCGGAAAACCAAAAATAAAAATCAAGCACAAAATGTTTCTTCTCCCCGCCAGTGTGTACATATCTCACATATTTACATGGTTCCCACCTCACCCCAAACTAGGGGAATTTCTCTCCCAGCCTCCCACCTCCCAGGGGGCTGCGAAGGGAGCAGACGGAAGCTGCAGGGACTCAGGCAGAAGGCTCTCAGGGAACGGCTTATTTCTACAGCTGGTTAAAAAATACCTCCAACTTTTCCAAGTTTCATTTGTTTGTGGCCAGGAGGGCAGGGCCCCGCGGGGAGCAGGGGCCCTGCTGTGCGGTGGTCGGTCTGCAGCGGGGCCGAAGCCCCTTGCCATCGGGGGTGTGGGTGGGAGCGCAGACCCCTACAGCGTGGCCGGAACCGAGTTGGAGCTCGGATAAAACGAAACGAAAATGAGCACTCAAAAATTTTTTTTGTTAGTTTTTGTGTTATTTTTTTGTTTTGTTTTGCTCTTTTGGGGTAGGGCTGGGACGGTAAGAGGAAAAAATAAATTAGGCTAGATTAAAGCTTTGGCTATTTCCTGCTTTTATACACAGACGCGGCTCTCGCGGCCTCCCCTCCGGGGCCCCGATAAATACAGTATACAGCGATTTAAATTAAGGGCGCGGGCGGAGTTAGAAGGACCCTAGGAGCCCAGAGGCTCCATGAATAAATAAAAACCGTAAAAAACCGAGCCCGGAGGAAGGATCAGGGGAACGGGGCGCATCCTCTTGGGAGAGAAGAGGCATAGAGCGAATAAAGTGACAGTCCCCCACTCTCGATCCGCAGGCTCGGGTATCCGCGCCGGGGAGAGGGGATGGGGAACGCTTCTCTCTACGCCCTCTCTCCCCCTCTCTCCCGGGGAATTCCTAACCCCGTACCGCGTTACCTGTCGCTGTGGGGAGGCCGCTGCCGGGATCCGGCCCCGAACAGCCCCGGGGGGCAGGGATGGGGGTCGTCGAGGGAATGGGGACAGGGAGCAGGCGGCGGGCAGGATGCCCCGGGTGAGTTGGCGCGGTCCGGATCTTCCCTTTTCTCTCCGGGGTTCGGGCGACGTAGCCTATCCGTCCTCTTCGCCGCTCGCCGGAGAAGGTCGTCGGGTGTTTGGTTTTGTTCTAAAGTTTCTGGGCTTTTTGTAAAATCCAAAGCAACCGAACAAAAAGAGTACAGGCCGCGCGGCGCTCGCGCGCTGGCGTAAACCCTGACTCGCGCGGTCTCTGTATCGAGCCATTAATGTGTTGTTTGCACCCGCCCGCGGGCCGCGGGCCCCGAAGTAGCAACAACGTTCCGCCGGCCAATTCCCGGTCCAAACGTCGCCAGGGGGGCGGCGCTCGCCTGGGTCACCCTCTCCTCTGCGCGTGAGAACAGACGCACACTCCTTCCATCAGTGCCGCAGCCGAATCGCCCAGGTTTGGACTGAAA